AAGAAAAGATAAAAAGAGAAAAACAAAATACGCCGTGCAAATATCAGTCGTAGATGACTTGCGTTTGCCACCTAGGATACACCAATCCATTAGCTTAACCAATTAAGAACATAATGGAAGACTCGTTAAAATTTAACAACTTATCTAACACCTCAATCGAAATTAGGTGATTGTTATCCAACTATCTTAGCTTTTTTTATTTTAAATCAGGAAAAATGAAGAATTTTATATGTTTTGTTACTTTTGAATTTTTTAGGTGTATTATAGCTCTGTTTTGCTTTTTGTTACAAATTTAGGCTATTATAGTAGTCAATACCTATGTGCTGGATGTATGATCGGACAAGACCAAGTGAAGAGCAGCTGGACCATTCTTTTGGCCACCACCAGAGGCAGTGCCCACAACAAACTACCCACCTTTGGCAGGCCTGCCAGACCTGAGGTCCCCGGTCCCCACTCCCACCCAACGACTCAAGCGAGGAGGGCAGACGGCAGAGGCGATACCACACTCCAGCAGCCCTGGGAGCCCTGGCACATACCCAGCATGCCGATGCCCAGCATGAAGGCGTCCATTCCATAGGGCATGACTCGAGACCTCCCCCGGGCCGAGCCGGTCGGCGACATCACCTCTTTTGGCTGAGCTTTCTTACACTCCACCTGCAATGAGACGTGGCGGTCAGTTCCTCCTACAGTCCTCTGGTCACCCGCCTTCCGGTTCCCTGGCGGCCTCTTTATCGTTAATGTCAGTTACCATGAACAGAGCGCTCACTCTGTGCTAGGCACTGTGAAAACAGCTTGCAGGCAATAGTTCATGAATGCTTACTTACACCAACACAATCATGAAGGTACTATTGTCACTCCCATTTTACAGATGAGGAAATTGAGGCTCAGAGAGCGAAAATCATCTGCCCAATGACTAGACTAGCAAGTAGTGGAGTGAGGATTTCAATCCCTGCTTTTTTATTTTTTGCCCCCCCCCCCCTACCCCCAACCCAGGCTTTTTAACCACCACAGGACACTGCCTTGCTATCCAGATTTTCAGGGTGTGGGGGACTGATTCAACCCCACTGACTGAGCCCCTCTGCCTGCCTCCAGAGCCTCTGAGCGCCCCTGGCTGGCTCAGCTAGGAGCCAAAGTCTCTCTCTGCACCCCCACCCTGTCCAACCCCAGCTCACCATTTTGTTGTTGATTTCATGGAAATGAATTTCACACACTTTTCTCCACGATGTCTTCACTCTCAAACGTGACAAATCCGAACCCTAGAGGGCAAACACAGGGTCAGAACCGGGCTCAAGGTCAAAACCCAGCCCCAAGTCATACCAACACCACCTCCTCTCTTGCAGGGGAGTGTCTGAGCGTTAACAAGAGGCTGTGTCCTCAGCCCAGGAGCCTCTCAACACCTGCCGAGACAGGGTTCCTCGTTCCAAATCACAGATGTGAACACCAAGGCTCAGGGAAGGGAAGTGCTTTGCTCAAGATCACACAGCAAGGGAAAGCGGCAGAGCTCTGACGAAATTTCACTCCACGGCCCTTTCTCTTCCCCAGATGCTTTCCAAAGAGGAAGGGAAGAACACGCACAGACAGACCCTCATGTAAAGTCACACAGAAGTGTGCACACCCAACATGTGTTTGTACAGCCACCCTCACAGGTAGACACACACACGTACTCCCAAACACATAAAGACCCCTGTGTGCATGTACACAGTCGCCCTGATACAACAGACATACACATTCAGACACTGACACCTTCCCATGCAGATGTCCACAGACAACGCACACACCCCACTCCCACAACAGGGTAAAAGGCCCAAAGTCCTGAAGCAACTGGAGACACAGCCCTGCCTCCTCCCCGTGTGCCCCAGGGACTGGAATGGGAGCCTCAGGAGGCAAGGCCTTTGGGAGAAAAACAACCAGGCTGTGCAAACACTGTGGCCTAGATGCTCCCAGGTTCAGGGGCAAGGGGACTGGGGGCTGGGCTCCGCCGGAGGGGGGTGGGGGGTGAAGGGCTTTGAGTCAGCAAGTCAGCCTGACCCTGGGGCAGCCTGGCCTGCGCTCTGGTTACCAGGGACGAGGTAAGCCCCAGTATAGACACTGGCTGGGCAGACAGCAGGCCGAGTGGGGGGGAGGGCTCAGCTGGGGGAGAGTCTGCTCCTCTCGGGTGTCAGCAATTCTGCAAGTTTCTAGCACAGGAAACGGCGGGACAAAAGCCTTCTGTAAGGCCAGGCCCCAGAGAGGATGCAGATCCTCAGGGATAGGATGTCAGGAGGAGAGATGAAAGGGCAGCTGTGACCTGCAGCCCCTGGCTGACCACAGGCCCCCAGCCCGGCCTGGAAAGGGGGAGGGGCCACGCTCACCTCGGTGCCGGTTGGTGGTTTTGTCAAACATCAGCATAGCATCATCCACCTGAAACAGAGCATTTTGTTGTTGGAGGACACACCGATACCAGGGCCCACCACAACCCAGGAGCAGGGCCTCCCACACCTGTTCCGTTCCCCTGTTCCCCAGCCCAGGCTTTATCTTAAACCTGCTCCCCACGCTGGGGACAACGTTCTACCCACAACCTCAACTGGATGCCACAGCAACCCCTTTCAACCACCAGATTCCCAATGGACCAGCCAGCAAATATTAAGCGCCAAGTACGTGCCTGGCACTTTGTCCCATAATCCTCTCCACATTCCCTGCACGTTGAGATCCTCATTTTGTACATAAGGAAATGGGATCAGAGAGGTGAAGTCACCTGCCCAAGGTCACACAGCAAATCTTAGATCAAGTCTGAGAGGAAGAGGCACTGAGTGGGCACTAGAGGAGGAAATACAAGCTCAAGACCTGAGATGGGGAAGCAAAAGCCTCTTCCCTTTTTGCAAAAGGCCAGGAGGACAGCAGCCTCTGCAGCCAGTCTCAACTCCCCTCTCCCGGTACAGAGCTTTTCCTCTAATTGAGGTTTCCTTTGGCTAGAGGCTGTAATTAAACCAAGTAGAGTTCAGTGCCTGGGCTGCTTGCCTCCCACTGACTGGGGGAGGGGAAGGGGCTGAGGAAAGGGGAGGGGCTACACTATCCTCCCTCCCTTGGACCCCAGGCTTTTCTCTTCTGGCTTCTCCCTCAAGGCTCCCCTTGGATACTTGGTCAGCCAGAGGTCTGAGCTTCCCTCCCATAGTCCCACCTCCTTCCCTTTGCCTACAGCTGGTGCATCCTCCTGGCCCCTTAATTCTTTCAGCCCAATGTCAGCTAACCCATGGGGTTACGCTAAAGGTCTGGGTCATCCTTTGGTGGAAATCAAAGGGTTGCCTCTGATATCCCCCCATTGCATTCCAGCCGCTGACACTCCCCCCCCTACACACACACACAAATGGTCACACACCCAAGGGCTGAAGGAAAACTTCCTGAAGCGTGGGGCACAGCTCCTCCCCCAGGGGCACAGCTCCTCCCCCAGGGGCACAGCTTCTCCCCCACTCTCCTTCGCTCCCTTTCCAGGCCTGCCATACGCCTCCTTGAAGGAAAGGGCAATCCCTGAACAGGGTGGGCCTCCAGCTCTCACAGGCGCCAAGTGGAACAGGGCCTCTGACCCCCCCCACCCCCCTCCCCCAGGGAGCCAGGACCCCACTGAGCCTGGAGGGAGCTGGGTCCTGGAGACTCTGAGAAGGAAATGACATCCTCCTGCCCCGGTGCCCTTCTGGGGAGTGTCACCCTCACGCTCATCCTTAAGGACCCTCTCTGAGTCCCCATCCCAAACCTGCTCAACTCTGCAAACTAGACAGACACTGCAGGCTCAGCACGTCTTCCCCACCCCTTCCCCACCCCCTCAACCGCGGAAGAGACACCCAGCAAGGAGGGTTGTAGAAAAGCACAGGCTTTGCCCTGGCTGGTTTGGCTCAGTGGGTGGAGAGTCGGCCTGTGGACTGAACGGTCCCGGGTTCGATTCCCGGCCAGAGGCGTGTGCCTTGGTTGCAGGCACATCCCGGGTGGGGGGTGTGCAGGAGGCGGCTGATCAATGTTTCTCTCTCATCGATGTTTCTAGCTCTCTATCCCTCTCCCTTCCTCCAGTGGGAGCCGCCAAGTTCGGCGGCCTCTAATAAATCAGTGAAATATATTTAAAAAAAAAAAGTAGAGGCTTTGAATTCAGATCTGAGGTCCTGCACTTGCTGGTGGGTAATCTTGGGCAAGTGTGTCTGTGTCTCCATGACTCAGGTTACTCACCTGTGAAACTGGTGTAAGAGTGTCTTGTAGGGAGGGGTTAAATGAGACAGTGCATGTAACACTCAACTCAGTTCCCGGGACACAGTAAGTGCTTAATAAATAATGACTATCATTATCACCTTATCATGGAGGGGCTTGCCCACAGTCACAGGGAGAGGGCAAAGCTGGAGAGAGCAGCCCCACACCACTGCCTTCGAAGGTTTCATGCGGACAGTGCCTGTGTCAGCTATTACCATAACCAACGGACTGAGCATCTTGACTTGGGATCAAAAATTATTTTTTGAATGAATGAAAGAACTAAGAACCAGCCCTCTAATACTATCACTTTGAGTTCCTGCCTGATTCACAAATTGATTTCAGCCCAAATCCACTGCCCTTTTTGCCTTCCTCTACCCAATCTTCCAACCCCCATCCCTGACCCCCAGACCCTTCCACCTGAGTTCTGGCTGGACAGACCCTAGCGGGGATTGGGGTGGAGGCCAGGGCAGGGAGCCAGGACAGTGGCTGGGGGGCCAGAGGACCCCCACCAGTGTCCCCTCCTGGGGCCAGCTCAGGGGAGAGAGGCTCCCAGCGCGGTGTCCTTAATAGGCTTTGGTCTCCATGGGAACCCGAGGGCAGGGGGGCTTGGGCAGGGGGAGGGGAGGCGGCCGGGGCCTGCTGACCAGTGGGAGCCGCCAAGTTCGGCGGCCTCTAAGCCTGAGTGGCAGCCATGGCGGCTGACCATTGTTCCCCCCTCGGCGGCGGCCCCTCGATCCGGGCGGGGGGCCCCCCCGCCGCCGGGCCCTTGGCATTCCCGGCTGTCCCCCTCGCTCCCTGGCAGCCTATTCTCCGGCTCCCCCTGGCCTCCCCGGGCCGGTTTCACATGCCAACGCCGATTTAGGCCCGAACAAAAGACGCGGCCGCTGACGGCTTCTCCTGGGGCCCGGTTGCCATGGCGACGCCGGCCCCGGGGGCAGGCGGCCTCCAATCACAGCTGCTGGATCAGATTAGTGCGAGCTCTAATGCTCGGCGCTCAGACACAAAGACACCCCGCCGGAGCGAGCGGGGCCTGCTGCTTCCCAGGAGCGTCCTTCCCTCTGGGGCCCAGGCCGCCGACCTGCCCTCCGTCCTGGACTCAGGTCCCCACGGAGGCGCCTGAGCCTCGGCCTCTGGCCCCCACGCCGCCAGCATCCGCTGGCCCCGGGACCTCCCACCTTCTGGCCTTCTCCCCTGGAGACAGGGAGCTGG